TCATTTTTAATCATCTACGTAAAAATTAAACTGAGAAAAACTACCTTTTGGAAAAATACCAAAAGTCTGGATGATCGAGAATTAATGCTATATTAAAAATAAGCTTTTTTTGTTCTATCGATCACATTTTAAAATAGTTTATTGTTGATAGACATTAGGGACAGGTAGTTTTGGTATTCAATTAACATTGATAAATAATGGAGGATCAATTATTAAAAATGGAAAGTCTTTATCTATAAATGGTTTAAGCATGACAGGGTGATGTCATAAGAAAAAAAAATATTTGTGTCAAAGAGAACAAGCAATACTGTGTACAACGAAAAAACAAACTTTATAAATATTGATGACGTATCATTAAAAGTAAGAAGACATGTGTGAACATGAAGAAGACCACTTATAATAAGTGTTACTATTGCTGCAATGGTCGGAGATGAAAATTTTGATCAAATGGATTCGAAAACTAATTCTTTTAAAACTATGAAGAATTCGATTGTATTGTTGACCCAGAAATTCTCATATTTCACAAAATTATACTATTTTTATACAGTTTAGCTATCTAAATACTCAATTAAGCTCAATGAATTATTGAATCAGTATGAAAATATGTATTTCAAAGTGTGCTACAGATGTAGACATAAATTCCTGGCAGGGTCTATTTCGTCGTTTGAATAATTTGGGATGTCGGTACATTATTCATTAGACATCCACATCCACACCATAAAATTCAGGCATCCGATAATACACATTAGTGCAATAATATGTTCTGCTGCACTTAACTGAAATGAAATAATTAAAAAAAAGGGAAAATAAATCTGTTTCATTCTCTTTTTTACTTGTACTTCTGATAGATATCGAGTCATATTTGTCCGAATGCTTAGTCGATCGGTGTACAAATTCTACCATAGCAAAAACTATATTTCAAGTTTATTTATTTAGTGAAATCAAAGATATGGGTTAACACTGTCCAGTGTGAAGGAATTGCAACTAGCCATTTCATGTGATAAACTTTGACTCAAGATATTTTAAATCTTCTTTTCTTATAATATTAAACTCATTCTCAGATAATTGAATAACTATATATGAAATTAGTCAAGATATTGAATTTAATTGGAGATTACACTGTTCACTAATGTATTGCTGCTATTGTGCGCGACTTTGTGTTGACTACTCGAATAGGATTTGTGTTCGTGTTAGTCGTTGGATGAACTTGAACACCACTACGGCGTCGCAGAATTCTATACATCAACTGAACGAGTTCTTTTCTATATGTTCGAGCCGAAACGAGATATAAAAGGAAGGGCACAGCGTAGGACAAATACATGAGAAGTTGAGACATCATTCGGGCAAAGTAAAAGCCAGATGTAGCTATAATTGCGTTTGGCATGACCAATATTAGATAAGTAACACATGTTGGCAGAGTGAGTACAATCTGACAGCTCACTTGTAGAAAAAGCATTCGAGCAAGTTGATTTTCGGTTCGGCGATGATGTAAGATTGCAGCAGGAATGACATGCACTTGTTTTGTATTGTATATAGTCATGACACCGAAGAACGTCATAAGCAATGGTGCAATAATGGCAAACAGAAAAATTTGCATGATCGAATACACTTGTTTGTAGATAATATCAGCTCGAACACGACATCCAAATGTGTCGGTTGATCTTAAATCGATCAGAATTGCAGTATTCAGGTAGAAAAGCATGATAAGGACGATGATGAACATAATCGCCCAACGAGCTACTCTGACATTACTGAATTTCCGTACGCGATTACTTATTGAACTGGCACAATATCGATCGATCGAGGCAAGAACAATAAAAAATGGCGATAATGTTGCACACACTTGATAGATATATGTGATGAGTTTGCACGAAATAAGAGAAACTTTAGTTACATCGAGCTGGTATCCATAGGCCAGAAGAAGATAAACGAGAATTGCACTTGTATAGAATAAATTGTTGCAAGAAAGAGCCAGAAAATAACGAGAACACGCGTGATTATACAGGAAAGGTCTTGTAAGTACGGCAATGTTGAGGGAATTACCTGTTATACCGACAACCATAATTATGGGCACTATGTTTTGGATCATTTTAATGGCAAGTTGTGTGAGTGAGTCGGTCATTGTCTCTTTCTTCTTGGCTTTCTCTTCGAATATGTAAAACTTATTTCTTTTGTAATCGACTTTCAGAATGCATCATTATATACATCTTCTCAGTTAATTATTAACATGACACCTACCAGATCAAATGAACTGTCAACAACATATCTCATTACTTCGTGCTGCTATGATGATCCATCTTGCATATATGGATTACTCTCTCTCTCTTATTTAATAACAGAAGGATATATATATCAATAATGACGTTTCTGTTTGTCTGCATTTCACTTTTGATTGTGAAATAATTAGAAACTGTCAAAATAAATAGCATTTAATGCATTCAACATTAATAAATTCAGATGCAATATACAGGATGTCCCAAAAGTCTAGACGGTAAGTTAATTCAAGTATCTCTTCTACAACTCAAGCAATCTAATTGATTTTTTTTATAATATGTTAGTGTGTTCTTTAAAGTTTTATTTTGTATATTTTCAGATAAATGTCTATGCCTATAAACATTAGAATTAAAATAGTTTTATTAGTGGCCAAATTTGAATCACCTACTATTGTGAAATGAAAAACGTAAGTCGAATTTGGCATAAAAACGCCATGCATAGACTGTACTATTGATGTTTTTCAAGGCTTTTTCGCAATGAGTATAATAGTAAATAGACAACAATCTGAAAGACCTTCAAAAACTACAGAAGAGAAAATCGACAAAGTTTATGATAATTGTGAAAATGTGCCGCCATCAAGTGTTCGGGTTGTTGCAATAGTCTACTTCCTTCCATGAGCAACATCACGCCGAACTATCACTGAATACCATCTAATGAACCCATACAGGGTATAATTTGTCCTACAACTTTATGAAGAAGATTCACAAGGTCGAGTTGAAATTATATCACTTTGATACGCACGTTACAAAATATCCACAATCAGACGAACTCTTTTTTTCAGTCAAAGTCTTTTTTGATTTAAATGGTTTATCGATAAATATAAAGTGAAGATCTGTGCATATAAGATACATATAAAGATTTGGTTAAATTCTATTAGGGATGTGTTGATATATATATATATACGTATATATGATTTGTAACCTTCAAATCTTTATTTGACGTTCAAATCAACAACAAATGTATAACGAAGAGATGCGAGCTGGAAAGGCAAACTTACCTCGCCTCGACTAACTGACTACTGGAAGAAGATGTACATATATATAGGAGATAAAGTGGCCAACGACTAGATTACATGTTATCATAGAACAAAGAAAAAGATATATCTAGTCGCCATAATAAACATGTAAGAGATGAAAGAGTGAAATCAGTTCATAATAATATCAAATACGAAAGAAAGAAAGAAAAGTAAAGACCTGGATGAAATAAAATAGAGTGGAACGATATGAAGGGCAAGTTCGTAACAGACGACCCTCTTTTTGAAAGATGTGTGGCCGCACACATGGTTAACAATATAACAAAATAACGATGAACTATATATATACTTTAACCAAAGAACCACAACAATAGAAGGCAAGAAAGAAAAAGAAGGAATAGGAAAAACTAGTAGATGTTTCAACATGGAACAAAATAAATTTGATTGTTCATCGAAAAGAAACGAAATAATGAAATAAAATAGTTTGACCTATATATAAAAAAAATAAAAACATTTCTTTTTTTATTTATCGAGGCGTAGTTTCTTGCGGATATGATAATAGTGTTTCTCCGTAAATAAGCCACTGCGTAATGTTTCATCAATTTCTTATCCTATTTGTTCCTTCTTTACGCCTAATAATAACATGCATCCGACGACATTCCCTAGAGAATATACTGAGTTAAGGGTACCCAAAAAAGTACCCTGATACCAGTATGTCACAGGAACTTTTGGGTACCAAAGTACTTGCAGGTACTTACAGGTACCTAAGTGGTACTTTGGCAAGTACCCTGCTGGAAAATGCACAGTAATTGGGTACCTAAAGGTACTGATCAAGTACTGAATTGGGTACCATTGTATAGTATTTCTAAGTACCCTGTTACCAAATTTTCAGTATGTTCAGGATCGAACCTGATCTTTGACTTTTTAAAATTTTTTCTTTTTCTTGAGATAATTTACTAGATATTTTTTACTTTATTCAATTTAATTTTTTCAATTCCAAAAACTTAGCAGGAACAATGTCGGGATCCGACTCAACTTGAGTTGGTCGTAGACCACTTCAGGGTAGTCCGATCTTAATTTACGACCAAGCTCGGCATTTCCTCGACTAAGAAATAGTCAAGAAATAATTTAGAAAAAACTAGTATGAAAATTGATTATTTTCTTATGATTTATCGAGTTGTTTATATAGAGCCGTACGTAAAAAAGAAAACGGTGAATGAATAGTCGCCACACAGAACGCGAAAAATTTAGGATACCCTGTCGAGATTTCCTCAGTAAAGTTACAGACTTGTGTATCCATGCAGGTACTTATTCAGTGAATGTACTTTTACGGGTCCCCAAACAGTACATACATCAGTAAAATTACTGAGAATTTTCAAAGTACCCATATTGGGTACCCTGCTAGAGCTTTCTCAGTACATGGGTACCCTGAACTCAGTACTTTCTCTAGGGTTGATGTTCACATGAGAAATATTCATAAAATATTAAGATTTTTTTAATATTTCTAATGGTAAATTTATGATAAACGTGCTGGATTATTTTACAACGATATCATTTAGCTCGGTTTTTTTCGCTTTTTTCTTTGATTTCTTGTTAATGATTTATGATATTTATGCTGTTGATTTTGTTTATCTATTGTATTTTGTTGTATATCATCTTCGGAAATAATTTCAATTTCATTTGGAGCTTCATCTCTTACATGAACCTTGTCCTTATCATTATAAACGAATAATTCTTTCTGGAATGATTCGTGTTAATTTGAATAATGTTGTTTAAGAGATAAATGGATTTTCATTATTTCTGGTAAGGACATATCATCTAAATCATCATCAGTTATCATTTCAGAGAGTTCATCTTGAACATGAGCCTCTGTTAATGCATCATCCAATGATTCATTATGTATATTATCATCATCATTTAATTCAAAATTTTCATTTTGTGCATGAATTTCCACATGATAATTAATTTCATTTGCTGAACATAAATAGACAGATTCTTGATCTTGTTCATAATTAATGTTTTGTTCATCCTCTGACATGTTTCCGTACCAGATGGTAGTTGACATTTTTGAAGATTTTGTTGATGTTATGTTTTGGACTAGTTGTTTCGTAGCCAGACAATCATTTAAAGCATAAATTATCGCTAGTCTTCTATATTTTTCTTCATCTTCAATAATTTTATTTCTTATGGGGTGCGGGTACACATGTCGGTGTGAATGTGGGGTATGGGTATTAATTTAACTTTTACTCACACCCTGTTCAACATATACTTTATTAGGAACTGAATTTAATGAAATAAGAAGAATTGGTGTAGAAAATGATTATCCATTCTGCTTTTATAGATATTATTATTGGCATTAAACTAATTCAACATCGAAATAAGAGTAATGGAAAATTAAATGAACCAATTGTTAGATGTGATAAGAAGAAAATGCATGTCGAGATACCGTTTATTAGAACTTCAACAGTAGAATTAAACAAGAAAATCATACAGCTGTCTAATAGACTACGATGTGATATCAACATTCAATTTTTCACCAAACCATCATCATCGACACAAGCATTCTTCCAAACCAACGATCCAATTGTTAAACATATGCAGTCTGATGTAGTATATTATATTAAATGCAATAACTGTGAACATTCATATATATTGACAAGACAGAACGTCAATGTATACGAAGATTATATGAACATGGTTCACTGAAAACAGCCTATCAACAACAGCAGTGTAACGATGTAAGTGATGATATTAATAGTAACCATAACATTTCGAAATTAAGAAGATCATCACGGATAAAAAATAAAACAGCAACAACAACAACAGACAACGATAATAAGACTGCCAAATCATAAATTATTCAGTATGGAAAAGAAACAGGTTATCATATGAACTTGAATAATCTTCAGATAATATGGCAAGACAATCATTGTTATCGTTTGTAAAATTAAAGAGTCATTATTGATCAAGGTTTATGAACCAGAACTCAACAAAGCAAAACGTTCAGTACCATTACTCGTTTTTTCTGATGGCTTACCAAGAGTTCTATTAGCTAATTCTGCTCATTAGTGAAACTTAAAATCGTTTGATATTGTATCTTCGCTGTTTCATTTCTCTTTTTGTTTTCGTTCTTTTCTTTGCTCAATGTATAATTTCATAAGATCTTAATAAATCTTGAAAATGATGACATAGTTCGTCGAAGCGTCGAATAATTGTGTTTTTATTCTAAAAAAAAATTCAATAATTCTATGCAAAGCCGATGTTATCTTTTCATTTATTATGAAGATATTGGCTTTAAAAATCACAAAAGATTGTTGATGATTAACACTCAATCACACTCATCATCCTCAAACACTTTGCATCTGTTACAAGTACGTGGAAAATGAAAGCAGATATGTCCTTCATCCTCACCCATACACAGTCATTTTTCCTTCGACATTTCTATTTTCTACTAAATGCTGGTTTACTGTATGAAATGTTCTTAAGATGGTTAGAGATAAAATAGTCTCATATCTCCAATGCAATTATCCTTTTTACAGACATTCTACTTAGCTAAATACAAGTTTCTTCTTGTAAATATTTTTATTAATATGTCATTAAGCAATGTAGTTCATATCACGATGATCGGAGAGCTGCTGTGAACAAGTGAAAGATGAATACATAATCTTGATAAATTTCGCAGTTGTTGTTTCATAGTTTAAAGAAAATTGCTTGTGTTTTATACTCAGAAAAATTTTATTAGTTTGTGTAATTCTTAGAACACAACTCAGCTATCGAATTTGTTGTTTGAATATTTAAAAGAGAGCAAAAAAAATTTACTTATCGAGAAAAGACTCGACAATCATTATCGACTAATGAGAAAAACAACAATTGTTCTTTTTATTTCTGGTGCTTTTACAATAATCAAAACTATCATGTTCTATTCTCTATTTTATTGTAGTTATTATACAAGGCATTAACATCATTCATATTATCAATTAATCTGAAACAACAATAAAATAGTATGAACTCACCTTATTGAGACGAACCAATTTCAGATTGAAGATATGATGAATTTCAATATTTAAAGTGCTTAGTTGTTTGAATCGACCATCAAGTAAAGAGAGACAATCTTCAAATTGAAATACATTAACACATAATACAGTAAGAGTCAAACAGAAACAAGTAGTTGATGATGGACTACAAAGTGTCAAAGGTGGATACTTGTTGACAGATGATGAAACAATTGTCAAATGCTTTAGATTTTCAAAACGAGCTAAGATATGTGCATACACATGAATCTTATAAGTCTTCAATGATGTTTGTCTGATATATTCATCATAACTAGGAAGAATAAGATCTTTCTATTAATGTTTAAAAATATGTCGAAAGACTGAATTATCTAAGGAACGAAAAAAAGAAACAATGTCATGGAATGCTTTTATACCTTACCTTGTTCATTTGAGAAAATATTAAGTGTTTACCTGTACAATAATGAAAAACTTCCTTTTGATCGAAGTTGAAGATTTCTAGAGAAGTTAGATTTGGGCGTGGTTGAGCAGATCTTCTCTTCATTTACAAACACACCCACACCCTAACATTTATCGATTTCGTTTTGTGACAATCGATGAACAATGTTTATTCATATGACAGTAGACGATGTTATGCTCAATAAAGAAAAGTAAATATATTTATTATTTACAATGCACGTTGACTGAATTGTAGTCATTAGGAATGATGGATCAAGGAATTTGTGAAAGAGATGCGATCATGAAAAAGAGACAGCCGTCACAATTCCTCATCCACTGTAGATCCATCGTTGGTAGTCATGCAATTAGAGTGTGCCATCTTCATGGTAACTGTCCTCGATAGTGCCACTGTTTACAAAGGAAAGTGTTGATTATGGTGCTTTCGTAAATGGTTATTATGAAGATACAGGTCCCTACATGTGATACTTTAGAAAATAACATATAGTCATTTTATGTATTTGTGGAAGACTTTTAATGAAAAAGATAGGTTGAAATAAACTACATACTAATTTTTCTTTGCTAAAATAATATCTCTAACAAAATACAAAACCAATACAATTTTACAGTAAACTATTGAGTATGTGTATTGAAATATTAAATTGAATAGAGTGTGGATATCTTAGCTGCTTTTCTGTATTCATAAGTTTATTGAAGTAGTACATAATAGTGTTCATTGATCAGTTTTTTTGCTTATAATGTTCACTGATGAGAAACAGAATATGAAGAGGTGTTTTTTTTTGTATTATAAATGTATATTTGTGTGTAAACATAAATGATCGAGATAAATTTCGACTCATACTGTGAAACTAAAATAAGTATTCATATTCCATTAGAAGAAAAAAAGTAAACTATAGGAAGATTGTGAATAAATACGTTTTTGAATAAAAAAGTAGTTAAGATTCATTAAAAATCGTGGAATATAACGAAATTGCTTTTTTTCTTGAGATAGAAATAATTTTCTGCTAATATTTTTTCATAGTTGCATTGGTTGAAAGAGAAAGTCTCTTTTAGTGCATATAACAGTTCACTACCCAGGTTAATCAATCCGACTCGGATCTGATCTTGAGTGTAGGTAAGGTGGTGGGTGGATGTGGCTGTGAGTGTTTTTACTAGAACCCACACCAACTATATTTAGATCTTTCCTCATCTTTTAGGAAGTTCTCGAAAGATCTCTACAGAAACTACTACGGATATAATTTTAGAAAATTGCATCATGCGAGGTCAAAGATTTTTGAACATTACTGTGTATATATGAATGAATTTCGCTCGTATTGTACCATTTGAATCAAAAAACCCCCAAAAAATAAAAGTGAGCATGGAAAACATTCGAGTAGTACATTCGACAAAGCTTTATCGATTACATATTAACCAAGTGCTTTTCCAGCTACCAGTTTTCCTTTTGAAAAAAAACGAGTTCTATAAAAAAAAAAAAAAAGGATGACTAATTTATATGATTTTTTTGGTACAATAAAGTTTCTTTGGAGAATAGCTTCTAAGATAGAGCTTATATATTGTTATCATATATCAATCGAAAGCTCTTGAAAAGGAGAATCTAATTAGCATATACAGAACTTTATCCACACATAGGATACATCTCTATCTCTAAATAACCATCGTCTTAGTCTGTCGGAATATTTTCATATGAAAAATCTGTTAGAGCATTTTTGGAGTAAAATGCTGTTTTCACATGAACGGTATAATTTTAAGAGCTGAAATTTTAACCACAATCCTACCGTATGGTCTGTTAAAAATGGTGAAAAATCGTTGATTGATCTCTTATACTGACAAAGAAATCAAAGAAACAAAATCAAAAATCTGTCGGGACATTTAGTGAAACCATAGCAACTTGTTTCTCTTATTTTTACTTTTTTACTTGATTTAATAGTTCCTGAAAAAAGATATTTTTTTACCAAAATATTTGTGATCCTTTAATCTGGCGAATGTAAAAAGAAAATCAGACTTTACTTCTAAATCGGTTTTAGTAGTTTAAATTCAAGCCGTTGGGACATAAAATGATCCGTTAGTGTATTTAGGCAGTTTTTGAAGTATTTGATGGGTATATTGAAATCAAAGTTGTATCTTACATATATAGCCAGAAAGAGAAACGTCTTGGCTACAAAATAGCTCTGAAAAGAATTAATTTCGCCAGATGACAATTATGGCAAAGAAAAGCGTTTTTTTGGCGATAGGGGGATAAAAGTCAGTGATTCTTTTCCTGTTTTCCTTGAAAGCCTTGTAATGGTACCATTCAAGCGCAATTCGCCCATATTTATATATATATATATATATATATATATATATATCTTCAAAGTGATCTTTCTTTTTTTTTAAATAAAAAAGTGCAATTATGTATTTATGTAACCGATACAAAACTAACGTTTTAGCTGGCTACTTATGAACTAGTCCATTATGGGCTGAAGGAATGCATAAAGTATGATATTCTCGCGATCTTGGTAGTAACGAATAACAAGAAGCGATGCATGATCTTGAATACACCTTTATTCTTTCAGAAAATGATTATCGAGTCTGTAGAGTTTCTCTATTGGTATTGAATATG